CCATCTATCAAGGTAAATCTTCATGTTTGATATTATTTTAATTTAGATTTATTTGATTATATATTTTATTTGATTAAACCAAAATAGAAAACAAATACCTTTCCTCTTCTTTTTTTATTTTTTATCTTTTTTTCTTTACATGTTTTTATTGTCTAAGGATATGATTCTGAATTTATGATATGTTTGTGGTCCCTTCATCAAGTTACCATTTTGTTGAATTTTATCTTCTTAATTTCTTTGAAGAATTTAGCAACTAAGTTTTCCTTTTTGGGTTTTTATGTATGCTCACAACTACTAAATTTTATTTTAACAATCGTACAACCTCTTTGAATTCTAATTTATAATCCAAAGGATTTCTTCTCCCCATAGAATGAAGTTATCCACAATACAACCTCTTTGAATTCTAATTTATAATCCAAAGGATTTCTTCTCCCCATAGAATGAAGTTATCCACAAGTATTTCTACCATTTCTAAAATTTATAATCCAAAGGATTTCTTCTCCCCATAGAATGAAGTTATCCACAAGTATTTCTACCATTTCTAAAATTGTGTAGTTGTGCATGGTCAGTACCCTGTGATTACGTCTTGTATCCGTACCTATGTGGACCAATTAGCAAAGAATTACCATTGAGCCAGATTTGTTTTGTCCTATATCCGTACAAATATGTTTAATGTTTACTGTTGTGATGGTTTTGCTTGGGGTTATTACAAACTTTAATATTCAATGTTTTCAAAAAAAATTCTTGGCTTACTAATTGTTACCTGTTGAGATTGTTGCCATGTTGAATAAGGGACCAAATTTGATCAAGATTTACTTTCATACTATAATTAAGTTCTTGTTACGTGGTAGTGGTGGTGATAAATTTTAACTTCTTCGAAGAAAAAGAATTTACAAGTTTGTAGTAAATCATACAATGATCTTAGCTTTTTTAGTCAAAAATATAGTTGAACAAACTTAATTTTTAAAATATTTTCTTTATTGCTATAAATATAGTTCATAATGACAATTACAATATCAGAGTTAGGTATATTCATCCCAATTTAGCTTAAAATCCATTATATTTATTTTTATTAATATTTAAATAACATACTAATAAATCTAATAATTAAATTATACATATTTGAACTCATGATGAATTTGACTTATTTAAAGTAATGAAATAAATATAAAAGGCAAAAATATTTTAATATTTAACCACGTGCAGTGCACGTGCGTAAAAACTAGTAAAGCTAAAATGTGTCAATATTATGACATATAATAAAGAAAATTAGAAGTAAATTATAGAATTTAAGAGTATTCAATAAAACAATTAGAAGTAAATGATAAAAAAATTTACCTCTCTGACGTACATTGACATATTATTCATTTCACAATTAATTTTTCCACCGTAAGAGCAAGCAATAAAAAATTGTTATGACTATTTTAGTGATATAAAATAATCACCAATTGATGGCAGACAAGTGTCCCGCATTATTCATAATCAGGTCAGCATCTCAATATAATCAAAAGGCTAGCTCGGTCAACTCGACACGCCGACATCCTGCGAGGACGACTCGAAAGGCATCATATATCGACGACTCAAAAGGCATTACATGTCGTCCCCTGGCGGGGTCGACTACTTAACCACTCAACTCAGCCGACTAATTGGTCGACACTTTATTGTTGGCCTTCTTGTTTTGATGATGTTTAACAAACAATTTACTTCTAATGTTGTTTGTCTAGTATTTGTGTTTTCTTATTTATTGTAGACAAACAACGTTGTTGGAGGATGGATGGAATAGCGCTTCAACGACGATATCAAATGGAGGTTGGCGGAATTGTGGAGTGAAGCATCGTACAATTCAAGTTAAAGATCAAGTTCAAGCTTCATCCGCAACGTGTACCAAGTCAAGCTTAATTGAAGATCAAGATTGCTTGGGTAATGTAGTTTAGGATTTATATTATATGTGTTAAGTACTCTAAGCTCAATTATCTATACACACACATTTTATTAGTTTCTTTGTATATATATGTAATCACACATATATACAACACAAGTTTTGGTTTTCATGTTTATAAATATGAAATTATATGTTTCATATTTATTATTGTGATTTGGTTTATCTACATAGATATGAAACAAATATATTTTCATATACATACATAGCTTTTGAGTTTTCATGTTTATAATATGAAATCACATATTTCATATTTACTATTGTGTTTTTGAAAACATTGCATAGAATATGTAATTTTGTGAAAATAATGTATTCTTAGTTTATAGACTTCAATATCAGTTTATACATGTTTTACTAAGTCTATAAAAACATTTCACAAAGTTTCAAAAGTTGGTTTATGTCAAAACATCAAAATTCAAGTATCTCATATTTTCATGTTTTGGACTAGTTTGTAAAATGATGATATTTTTCATTTGGGAAGTCCTTTTTCAAAACCAGTCATTGTAGCATGTTTATTATCATGTCTACAATCATTCCCCAAATTCAGCTTCCAACGGCTAGTTTTTTGACCGTTGCTGGGGGCTGTTTTGTCTTTCTGCTTGGGGTTTTTGGCTGAGTTATGAGAGAGTATAAATATCCTATTGCCTTCAATTCTCAAGCTAACCAAGAGAGTTTTTAATCAAGTTTAATAAAGTTTTTAACAAGGGTTTTAGTTTGGTTTAAGTGTGTTTAAAAAGCTTTTAAGCAAATTGAGAGTTTGTTTTGGTGAATCAAATTCCACAAGAGCTTGAGGAGATTATCTATTGAAGTTTGAGCTTCCAACTATCATCCCTCCATCTCTTGTTATCAAATTGAGAAGTTTTCTAAACTCAAACTCTAGCTTTACATTTATATACTTGATTGATTGTCATTGTTCTTAAGCTAGATTTCATACTTGAGTTTAGTTGATTTGATCTTATTTACTCATTGTTACACACACACTGTATTTACATTCATAGTATAATTTGGGGTTGTGGGTTTGTGACTAAGAGTTGTGCTTAATTGAGTTCTCACCTTGTTAGAGAGAACAATCATTTGCTATATTGTGCTTAATTGTTAAATCACTTTGTAATACTCTTGTACACCGAGTGAGGAGTGTGTGGTGAGAGTCGGGGATCGTCCCAAGAGGAGTGGCGTCGGTTGACGTGCCTAGGGAGAGGTTGTAACCGAGCACTTGAGGGAGACACGGCTAGGTCCAACACTTAGTGGGTGTAGAGTGTGATTGCAAGAGTGTGTGTTGTAGAGTTTTCGGTTAGCTAGAAAATCGAGTGTGTAGAAGAAGTTCTGGCTTCCAAACCGGATTGTGTTAGTGGATTTCTCCCCGGGAGTGGGGAGCGGAGACGTAGGACGGAAGGTCCGAACTCCGTGATCATATTGCTTGTTTGAGTTTGTCTTTGGCGTATTTTTTTTTGCATTCATCTTATATCGCCAATTGTACATTGCTCATTCATTTCATCCACTATCCTATTTAGATTGTTTACCCCTTGTGTTTGTTTATATATCCTTGCATATATATATATATATAATTCATCATATAGGATATATCTCAGTGTTCACATTGCTTATCCTAGCTCATATATCTTGTGGTATTTCATACTTGCTAGGATAACTTGTTAATTAGTTTTAATTGGCATTTAAATCGGATTAGATTAGCATAAGACCCTAATCACCCCCCCTCTAGGGTCTAACATTTATGAGGGCGACTCGAAAGGCGGTACTTCTTGACCATCAGACGAGTAGAAAAGTTGACGAAACCGCTCGAGCCTCGGGCACCGCGTGTAAGCCTTCTTCTTCTTTGTGGCAGATGTTTTTTAGGATGACACTTGTTGTGTTCCCGATTGCGAGAACTCGTGGATGTGGTGAGCTTCTTCTACGACGTCTGTGTAGAACGACGAGTATAAGGTCGATCCTTCACCGGCGAGGAGTTGTGAGTAGAAGTTTTGAGAGGGATCCATGAGATTTGTAATTTGATAGGAAAATATAGAGTTTTTTGATGAGAGAGTTGTGTGGAATGATTTGTGTAGTGAATTGAGAATTTATAGTTTTTTTTTACTGTTCATTTTTATTTTTTAATCTCAACAGCTATTTCTTAACGACTATTTCTAAACTTTTTTTTTGGCTCAAAGAGCAACATAGTGTAGCTGCTGGCTGGATAGGGGTTTTTGTGTAAAAAAAATTTATCCCTCTGAGCTCCCAAGTGCTCTATAAATTTGTGGAGCGCTTGGGAGCTCCACTGGGCCCCACTTCCTACCCGTTGGCCACATCAGCCTAAGGAGTCCGCCTAAGAGCTTGTTGGAGGTGCTCCAACAAGCTCCCACCGCCACCTCAGCCTTAGGAGGTGGGGTGAGAGCTTGTTGGAGTTGCCCTATTACGTGTAGTTGAAGCCGCATTTTAACCAAACATTAGAATTCAACTTCAATAAATGTAGTTAGAACACCATGTTATTTCTAACTACATTTGCAATTTCTATTACTTCAAATCAAACACATCCTCTGTGTACTAATTTGAGCAAACAAAAGTGTAAAAGAGAACTGTCACTTACTGGCTTGCTGGCCACAAGTCTTTTTATGATTTTTTCCTCCTCTAAAATTAGTCGCTTAAATTTTTAATATTTTGAAATTAGTTGCCCAGCCATGGAAATTGCTACAAGGCCTTTCTGGCCCTTCTCATGAGTCGTTTCAAACTTAATCCTTTACATCCTTGAAATTATTACTAGAATTCCTTACTTTTTTGTTGGGAGCTAGATTTCTTATTTTTAATTCAAATTAATCTCTGTAATCAATGGCAGTAGCAAAATATAAAATCAACGAAACTAAATAGAAATTTTTATAATTAGAGAGACTAATTAAATACTAATAGATTTAAGGGGATAATGTAGAAATAACCAAAAAAATTAGTGCGGCTAATTCTCCCGCCAATCCAACATAAGGAATAATAATTAATTTTTAAATTAACCCCCTCATGTCTTTGCTCTAATCAATGTAGAAAAAACATCCCAAACAACGTCTAGAAATTACAAATAAATAAACCCCCCCCACGAAAAACCCCTAAAATTCAAATCGACCGCTTCATCGATAATGAAGAAGAGCAGCAAAACCCCCAAATCCAGAACCCGAGGAACCACTGCCAAGTCCTCCACCTCGTTGGCGACGGCGACGGCGGCGATGCAGAGCTCACCGGCCGGTAACCTCACGCTCCACTTTGAGCACGTCTCGTTGCTCTCCTCATCGGTCAAAGATCCCGCTTCTTCTCGCTTCCAGAAGCTTTTAGAAGATCCTGACGCGGTTCCTAGCAATCCAGCAGCTGAGCCCGAGGACCTTTGCATCCTCAGCCAGGATTTCTTTTGGTAGGTCAAAATTTGTGCTCGATTTCTTGTTTTTTTGTGGGATTTTTTTGTTGATTTTTGGGGATTTTGTTGGTGCAGTACTCCGGATTATATAACGCCGGAAATGTCGAATGTTTTTTGTTGATTTTTGGGGATTTTGTTGGTGCAGTACTCCGGATTATATAACGCCGGAAATGTCGAATGGATTTGAGTTCAATAAGGTGAGATTGGTGGTGCAGTACTCCGGATTATATAACGCCGGAAATGTCGAATGGATTTGAGTTCAATAAGGTGAGATTGGCTGGTTTTTGCGTTGAGATTTTGGTAATTTGAGTGATTGTTTGATAAAAATCTGATCTTTGGGGGAGGTTTTTGCTTGTTTAGGAGAGCAGTGTTTGCCCTAAATCGCCAGAGAAGTCGGTTAGGAATAAGAGACACAGAAAGGGTGAGCTCCATATTGTTGGTGTTTTCTTCTTTTTAGATTTCGTAGAAGTTCTCTTCTGATTGCTAGAGTTCATGAATCTTGTTAGTTGATTTAGTTGCTGAGATGATAAAAGACTGCTTCTTTGTGCTTTGAATTAGCTTCGCTGGTGTTGCTTCATTGTAACATTCTTTATCCTTGAGCGAATGACATAAGGTTACAGAAATGCTATGAGTTTTCTATCCCAAATTTTTGAAGAGTTTTTGATCTTACAGTCTATGGTTTGTGGTAATTTGGTCAGTTTTTGAATTTTAAGTTCTAATGAAACTTAATAATGGGTAAGTTAGCATTGTAAAGTGTTTGGATTTTCAACATCCAAATGCTAATTGCGCAAAAAGCTTATCACTGCTGCATTGAGCTCACGTTTGTTTGAGCTATCCAAGTGAGCTGCAATGACTTTTAAATGCGTTATAGTCATTTCCTTTTTTTTAATTGTACTTCCCTTTTCAGTTCGTGAAACAATACAAGAACAGGAATTGTAGATCAGCATCTTTAAAACAATTTAGCTGATGCCAGTAATATTGCTTTCTCCTCATCTAATTCTTATTTCTTTCTCAGAAAGGTTCCCCGTGCAATCCCCTTCTCTTGCAATGTTCATTGTATTTCAGCAGGATAGTTGATCTCCCCAATTGGCATGATTTTAGACCCGTCAGTGGAACTATGCAAGCCACCGGGAACCGGGTCCCAAAAGAAGCAAAATTACGTTTCTCAGTCAGCAGTAGCTTTGCGCTGTAGGGTCATGCCGCCTCCATGCATTAAGAATCCTTATCTCAATACTGAATCATCAGTTGATATGGATATCTTTGGTGACAGGAAATCAAGATCCACAGGTGAAATTTCTATAAATTCTAATATCAAGCTGCCTATGCTGTTTATATTGTTTATGTTTTTCTGCAATCTTTATTATTTCCTCGTATTGAATAAAAAGTTCACTTTATTTGAATGAGTAGTTTGGGAATATAATTTGAGGATATATTGCAGCCCTAATGATGGTTACGTGCAAAATTTAAGTGAAATGTAATTGATCCATTAAGTTACTTGAAAATTTAGCCATTGACTGTTCCCTGGGCTTTTGCAAATGGGATGATAGTCATTGCAGTGTACATAAGCGGCATGTTTATCATTTTAGGTAGCTAGAAGCAACCAATACACATCCCTATGTTATTTACTTAAAACAGTATCATGCTCTGGTTCTATTCAAACTATGCACATGCAGTCCATAAAAATTTTGAACTTGATGCTTCACTTTTCACGTTTTGAATCCTAAGCGAATTGATATAATTCTTAAAACTAAGTCAGATATTGGGTCTAGATATTAATTTGTCCCTTACCTAGAAATTACTGTGGAAGATTTGTTTCTGAAATATTTTTCTATACCTTGTAAGTAGCATATGACTGGTGGGAGCAATGTATTACATGAAGTTTGACATGGGATGTTATATGATTTTGTGTGGGGGTAAAATGCAGGTTTTTGTCCAGCAATTGGTGGAGATGGTCTTTCACGTTACCGTACTGATTTCCACGAAATTGAGGTTTGTGCATAATCCCTAGTTTAGGCAAATTTGTATGCTGAACTGAGGTCAGATCTCAGTCTAACTTCCGTATCATCTATGTTATCTCCAGCAAATTGGTTGTGGTAATTTCAGCCATGTTTTCAAAGTTTTGAAAAGAATAGATGGCTGTATGTATGCTGTAAAACATACCATCAGGCAATTACGTCATGACAATGAAAGGTAGTTTGCTATTTGCTTGTTAACAGTTAATAGATTGCAATTATAATTTTTCACAAGAAGGCAGGAAATTAATAAGTTTTGAATTTATCTTAACAGGAGACAAGCACTGATGGAAGTTCAAGCTTTAGCAGCCTTAGGGTCTCATGAAAATGTGGTTGGATATTACACTTCATGGTTCGAGAATGAGCAACTGTATATTCAGATGGAGCTTTGTGATCAGAGCCTGTCAACCAACAAAGGTCATATACCAAAGGGTAGAGAAGTACTTGAAATGTTATATCAGGTAGAACATCATCTCTTTTTCAATGTCTTATAGTTCTATAATTTCCTTGTGGCAACTGGTCTTTCGAGGATGTTTTTTTTGCCATTGAGCCTTAGTGGCCAGATATGACCCCATTTTCGTGGAAAAGGTTTAGGTGATTGTAAATATTCATCCACTTCAAATGTGTTCCATCATTATCCTCTCTAATTTATTATGCCTCCTTTGTCCTCAGTAATAACCTTGCTTAGTCAATAATAAATTGACATGTCATCTTGTCCTCCCGCATAATCCTACTAGAGATGGTATTAACGTTGTGCATATGTCGTGGTTTCTATATTTATATACACTTTCATTATATGGTATCTTCAACTTTTAACAGATGGCTAAAGCATTGCGGTTTATGCATGAGAAAGGTATAGCTCATATGGATTTGAAGCCTGAGAATATTTATGTAAAGAACGGTGTTTATAAGATTGGAGATTTCGGTTGTGCAACCCTCACGGATAGAAGTTTGCCTATTGAGGAAGGCGATTCTCGTTATATGCCTCAAGAAATCTTGAAAGACAAGTATGAGCACTTAGATAAGGTTGATATCTTCTCCCTGGGAATAACCACATATGAGCTTGTTAAAGGATCACCGCTTCCTGATTCTGGTCCTCAGTTCTCTAACCTCCGAGAGGGAAAGATTGCATTGCTTCCTGTAATTTCCATGCAGTTTCAGAGCTTAATTAAGGTAATACTTTATAATCTCTGTTTTTATGTTAATTTGCTTGAAAGTTTGTGCATGTGTAATCTGAGTTTGACAACTACAGACTTTTCACCGTGGTGGTTTTTTTTGTTATGTTCCCCATTTTTTGTCATGGCTTAATACAGAGAAATAAGCGATAGAAGACTACATTTCTGTGCTGACATCTTTTATATTATACTTTCTGTTTCTATTTTGAAAGATTTTGTGCAACAATCAAAATTCAAAAGAACAGTGAAATTAAAACATCACTGGTTATGCAGAAATGTATGAGTTTAGGAGAAACTGATGAAGAGTTGGACTGAGATCGCAATTCATGTGTACAATTAGAGCTGAGGTGTAGGTTTCTTTAAGGAGTTTTGCTTGTAAACTTGTTGAATGTACATGAGAATAAATAGACCTTGCTGAAAAATTGGGAAGGGGTTCACAGAAACTCAATTCCAGTGCATAAATTCTTTATGATAATGGTACTCATCGAATTGTGAGATTATGAGTTACATGTCCATTTTTTCCGGGGTTTACTGCAAAATCCATCTATAACTTACACAAATCCTGCAGATTTCTGTAACAAGGATATAAATTGAAAAATTATCTTAATAATTTTCTTACTTTGTAAATTTGATAATGTCATTAAGTATTGTGTTGATTTCTGATATGATTCATTTCAGGCAATGATGGACCCAGATCCAATGAGGCGGCCTTCAGCTAAAGAAATCATGGAGAACCCTATCTTCGAAAAGCTACACAGAGCCTCCTCAAGCAAGTTTATGCATTAGGGCCAAGCTAAAATGTTACCGAATTGGTGGCCTAAGCTTGAGTAATCTTCCTCAGATGCTCAGGTTCTAAGTTCAGGCAAAGTTTTGGCATGTCTAATGATGTTAGCATTAGCTACATATTTTTTGTCCCATACCTCAAAATTTTGTAAAGAGGCCTTGAGGTAAAGGCTTTTGGGAACTATGAACAAGTGAAATCCTTCATTATAAAGAACTCATATTGCCACTTGTGAATTAAAAAGGTGGTGCTTCCATTATCCAGAAAATCTATCCATTTGTTCATTTGCAGTGAATGGGCATCATCCTATCAAAAGTATGTTCATGTTTTTGCAATTCACTTCAGTAGTCACTTCTAATTGTATTATGCAGAAACTAATGATCACAGCTTGAACTTAACCGGCCTGTTTAACTTAAATTTTTTTCCTCTGGAGCTTACATGGTTTCTGTAATATGGATATGTAAGATTTTGAATCAAGTTGATTATAAACTGCTTGAGTAATTAGCAAACTGAGTTTTGTTGAGGTTGATTCTATCTCAGCCCAAAGTTCAGAGAACATTAGAAAAATGAAAAACTCCACGAATAAAGTATCTATTTAGGCTTGGACAGATTTCTGTAGACAATTTATGCTAAAAAATGTACTTGTGACAATGCCTTTAAATTCTTTTCACATGATTTCTTCAAATGGATATTTTTTTTCGAAAATGTAGAATTCTAGGCCATAAGTAACTAAGGAATAAACGAAAGAGTTAATTGCGGATAGATCTCTTGAATGAATTTTTGGATCCTCTTTAGGGATCTATCTACAACAATAGATTTCCACTTAGGTGGTCTATCTGTAATAATTGTTAGACATGTATAACTTTTCATGATTTAGGATTAAATTAGACATAGCAGAATTGCAAAATTTAACACTAAATTAGACATGTAACTTTTCAGTATTTCTATAGTTAATTGTCCCTTTTTTTTTGCTGTTTTCCCCCTTTTCTATATGTTCATTTTAGGACAAATATCAGCAAACCCCCTTAACTTTGAGCAATTACTAGATAACCCCGTATTACTCCCAAGGACAACACCCTTAAGTTCAGGATTTATTAGAAAGCCCCCTTTTAACTTTAAGAATTTACCAGAAAACCCTCGTTAAAGTGTGAACTACTAGGGGGAGAAGAGAAAAATATTCCCGTGCGTACCCATCCATGTGAAAGTGTGAACTACTAGTTGGGAAGGGGCCCTTAACCTTCTAGGGGGTTTTCTGATAACATCTATATGATGGGGGGGTTTTCTGATATTTACCTTTCTTTCCATCAACAAAAAACGAAATCTGAAATCTGCTGGAAAAACTCCACACATTAACTGTTCATTTTACGGCCGCGTCCATGAAAACAACAGAAGCACGCTCCTCTCTCACTCAGTGCTCCTCCTTCCTCCCCCAAAATCAAGAAATGCCCCTCAAAAAATCCCCCCAGATGTTCTACTTCCTCATCCCTCTCCTCTCTCTGACCCTCCTCCTCCTCCTCCTCTACTCCTCAAACTCCACCCTCCTCCTGTACTCCCCAACCCCAAACCCCGACCCCAAGCGAACCCATCGCTGCGATCTCACCAACGGCAGGT